AGATTAGATATCCGCCACCCGTGGAGCCATGTAATAGCCCATAGTCCTTGGCCCTTCCTCGGCTTCCGCCTCTCCATTTGGGTTTGGAAGCGAATTAGCCCCTCGGTGTTGATTTCCCGCCATCTCAACTTCAACTTCTCCTTCAATTCCTTCAAATTTGGGACCAACTTGTTTTCCCCTTTCTTCACTTCTCCTTCCTGCCTCCGCTTGCTCCCTCTCTCAAGCTAGAAGTCGGAGGGTCTAGTTGATGTCCTCGTCCAGTGGTGTTAAAGGCGCCGGATTGCTCCGGGTCATGCACCTCCCTACACACACTTAAAGAACACAACACGTCTAGCACAAGCAAACACTTCACAACTTAACAAAAACAGAAATTAAAAGCTAGATTAACACCAAACAAACTTTTCACGATAACGGACTAAAGTCCCTCGCAACAGCACCAAAAACTTGACACGCTCTGACTATCACAATGAAATCCCACCTAAGGTCCAAGTATAAACCTTAGATGGGTGCAATATAGGGCAAGTATGTTTAAATATCGACCTGGGCCGGTCCATGTACCGCTACTTCGACTATTTGAAACATTATCTAGCAGATTGGGTTTGGTGAAAACATAGGTCTAAAACTAAATTGCTTTGCAAAGGTGAAATGGATTTAACTATAGTTGAGAAAGCTTCACCCAGGCGTTGCTCCCCTTAGCTAACAATTATGACTTGAAGAATCGAACGATCGTGTGTGGTTATGGGGGTCATAAATCGTAGGGAAGCCTAACAAGCAGCCAAAGCTACCCTCTTAGCCTCTAGGTTGAGGAATGGGATACAATCCAAGCCACTAATGTGACCCTCTCAATCTATCAACTAAGGAATGGTTAGACTTCACCCTCGAATTGGAGTTCGGATGGCCACCCACAACCAAACCCTATGCGCGAATGCGAATTAGGAGGTTTTCCCTTTAACTAACCTAGAATAGGAGGCATAGAATGCCCAAGGAAACCCATCTCTAATAGAGCCTCTTAGGTTAAGGAGGGTTCTCTCTACACTAGCTTAGGAGGCATTGAATGCCCAAGGAAATCCATCTCGAAATGAGCCTCTTAGGTTAAGGAGGGTTCTCTCTAAACTAGTTCAGGAGGCATGGAATGCCCAAGGAAACCTAACTCGAATCGAGCCGCTTTGGGTAAATGAGGTTTCCTCTCTAAAATAGCCTAGGAGGCATGAAATACCCAAGAACACCCATCTCAAATTGAGCCTCTTAACCTAAGGTGGTTTCATCTCTAAACTAGTCTAAGAGGCATGAAATGCCCAAGAACACACAACTCAAATTGAGCCTCTTAACCTAAGGAGGTCTCCTCTCTAAGCTAGGTTAGAATGACAATTAGATTGATAGGCTTTCACACAACACAATTATTTCTGAATAATACCTCCACATTCACATTAAAACACAACCAAACACAAATCATTCAATCATACAAGCATTCACATAATTGTAGTTAGGGTTTACAAACACCCAAGTGAAAAAAGAGACTACTCCATGCTAGGAGAAAGGAAAACACAAGAGAGGGAAAGGGAAACCATCAAGAAGATGCAATCCTTGCTCCTTGTGCTGAAGAAATCCTCCTTTGGGGAAGGAATTCCAAAACCTTGCTTGGAGATGAAACCCTAGCTTTTCCTCTTCTTTGGTTCGTCACTTTCTCACTCTAAAATACGAAGAAGGAGAAGTTTCTCACACTAGGTCTCCCTCTTCTTTTTCCTTTCAGCTGGCCTTTTAAGTTGTGATCGCGCCCAGTTCACGGCCTGAGTTCACGGTCATGAACATTGAAACGCGTTCGGGAACTTAGTGCTGAGACCAAAACGCACCGCTTCAATGGCTCGGGTTCACGGTCTTAGCGACCGTGAATAGCCTAGGCGTCAGTAACCTGTGAACCCCCTCTGGACGCTCCTGGGTTCACGGGTCATGGCTTCAGTTCACGGCCCTATAAGACTATGAACTCCAACATAAGGTCGTGAACAGCGATTGTCTACACCTCTTTGCGCGGTCTTTACTCCTTTCATACGAACTTTCGAATCCAGTTTGGTTTTACCTGTCAGGATCCGAAACACACTGAAACACAAGCAACCTTGCCTAAAACCAACCTTTTTGGAGTTCAATTGCAACAAACGTCAAAGAGAATCGGGGATAAAAAGTGTACAATTAGACCCGAATCATTCCCCCAAATCGATTTTCATGAACCCTACTCTAATTGACCTACTCTGCCTCCGGTACCAGTCCAATACGACAATACCCTATTCGGCCTTGAAGTCCTGTCAGAATCACCAGCGTGCCGCGAGTCTCCCCTCTCGCGCTCAAGGGGATCTAACCACTAGGGAGGGAGCGATTGAAGCATGGCTTGTTGGATCCAGACAGCGTGGACGACACTGCGATTCATTGGAGCGAAGGAGGAGATGTAGGGGAAGGGATGCCCATACGCCTAAGAAATTTCTGGGGATGTTAGATTCATTTTTTATTTTATTTTCTTGTTTTAAATATTAATAAATAATAAAATTGAAATTACTAAATTACAATAAAATACAGTTAAACAATGAATTGTTTGTCGCGTTATCAAGATTTGTTCAACTCAGCAATTAAATTGTCATTTCAGAGTCAATTGACGGTCAATTGGATGGAAAGTTAACGATTTAACTATTATTTTATTTTTCAGAAAATTTGACTATTATTTTATTTACAAATAAAAGGTTTGACTATTAAATTGTAGGCTACATTACAAGTTTGGTCACTCGAATTACATAAATCTTTCACGTTTGCCCCCGAAATTACTTTTCTTTCTTATTAGCCACTAACTTTACGAATCCTTTCACGGTTAGTCACTGACCGTTAGTCTCCGTCAAATTCCGTTAACTCTGTCAATATTTTGATTACGTGGCAAACAGAAATGCTCACTGGACGATTAACTCAATAACACGTCAATTTAAAAAATAAAAATAAATAAAAAGGGGCAAAAGCTCTCCTCCAACCAAAATCCTTTTTCCCCTTATTTCACCGTCGGAAAATCCACCCTGGTTCCGTGTCCCCTTAGCTCTGCTCTTCCTCGACTTCACTCGTCCTCCCTCTTCTCTTCTTCATTCTCTCTGGATCGAGCCGAGCAGAAAGAAAAAACACCAAACCGTTCCATTTTCTCTCTCTCCCATCCTTCTCGATCTGCATTCTCCTCTCTTTGTGGGAGCTACGAGAGAAAAGGAAGAAAGGAGAAGATAACGTCGCGACGAGGACATCGGGAGTCGACGCCGGTGCTGATGATGTCGATAAGGAAGGTCATAGGTAAGTCCCCTTTCGGGTTGCATGAGGACTTTTATGTTTGATTTTGTTTATAAGGTATCTTAGGGTTCCAATTGATTTTTCTCGTCTCTCGCCAATAGCGAATTGACTGGAAAAATGCGGAATGCCTGCTATCCAGAAAAAAGAAAGAGATGGGATCCATTCGCAAGCTCACAACATCAAAGTCCTCGGCGACGGCGACCAAGTCATCGTCCTGAATCACGGCTTCGGCACCGAGCTTTTCCTCAAACCCATCCTCCTCTCCGGCTCCCCTAGGTTCAGTTGATTCATTCAATCAATTGAATCTTCAAATTAGGTTTAACTATAAAATTCCCAATTTTATACAAATTGCAATAAATTCTAGGTATTTGAACGATGTGGACTACTTCAGGGGATTTGAGCAAGACGACCAGGACCAGCTGTTTCAGGCGATACAGTTGAGCCGACTTCGTGCTCATCTTCTTCGATTGATGGAGGACTCCACTTTTCTTGATCTTTGTTGACGATGTCCCTCCTGGTGCCCTCGGTTTCTTGACTAATTGTTTACTGCCGCCACTCAAGAATGGTGGGAATGAGAATGGTGAAGGCGACAATGGGAATGATGGGTATGGCGACGACAGCGGCGGGAAGGCCACAACAACGGAGGTGGCGGTGGTGAGAAGAAGAACGGCGACAAGATCAAACGAAAGGATAGTGATGTTATTATTTATTTATTTATTTAATTTTTAAATTGACATGTCATTGAGATAATGGTCCAGTCAGCAGTTCCATTTTGCTACGTCATAAAAAAAATTGACGGAGTTAACGGACTTTGACGGAGACCAACGGCCGGTGATTAATGGTTAAACGATTGGTAAAGTTAGTGGCTAATAAGAAAGAAAAGTGATTTGAGTGGCAAACGTGAAATATTTATGTAATTTGAGTGACCAAACATGTAATTTAGCCTTAAATTGTATATGTATTTATCTTATAAAAAGGGCATTGCTATTTGTCGCCCTAAAATACCTTATTCGTCGCCCTAATATTTATTAAAATTACTAAAATATCCTTCGTTTAATTTTTTAAAATTTTCGCCTAAACATACCAAACAGAGGATTCTACCCCAAACCCAAAACCGTCGCCAATCCATCGCCCTAGTCGCGGTACCCCATTAACCCCGACGCCGTTGGCCACCAATCTCCGACTCAATGAGTAGTACAGCACCACCGCGGCTCCGACGACGATCGCCATTGCACCCACCGCCATCTAAATATGGGAGAAAGCGAAACGGAACCCCTCCCTCCAAATCGTCGCTTTTTGGCAGTTGAGGGGATAATGATTGATCGATAAGAGAATTTATGGAGTAAAATTGGTAGGGATACGGAGGAAGAAGAGAAAGGAAACCTTTTGGCTGTTGAATGACAAGGAAGAAGAGGAAGAAGGAAAAAAATGGCGAGAGAACCTTATGGAGTCTTCTTCCTTCCTCAGCAACAGCAGGTCGGCGGAGTGGGGAAATGGGTGCGGCGGTGGGTTCGAGGAATGGCAGCGGTGGTCGGATGGTTGGTGGGTTAAACTGCAATCGGAGTTAGCGATTAGTAATTGATATTGCACAGGGGTATAAACGTTAATTTAGTATAATTTAGGGCGAAATAATTTAAATTTTAGGACGACGAATAGCGATTCAGTATAAAAATCAATAGATAGTGAAAAGTGCTTTCGGTCCTTTGCACAAAGAGCTATCTCTCTGCTACTCCATTTCCTTCTGCTGCTTTCTTCATAGGGTGGATGGTTGGGCAAAATAAACGTCAAATTTTCAATTAATCCTAAAAGATGAAAGCAGAAGCTCTTGAGACTTTGTGAAGAAAAAAAGACGACTAAGAAAAAGGGGAATCGGAAGCTCCCACCTTAAATCGCTACTCTTCCCACTCCAGAGAAGAAAAAAACAACAGAGGGATGGCAGGTTCTTCGAATTTCACTGTTAACAGCAGCAGCCCAGCTATTAAACTCGACTTACGAACCCAGTTCAGATCTCCACTGGGCTCCTTTGCTCTTCTGTAGATCTCCCTTCGTTCTACTACTTTTACTGTGAGGTTTTCCCTAATGCAAATTTTCTGTTGTTCTCTTCATTTCTGGATTGGTTATTTGACGAAGTTATGCAGCTTTGATGGCGCTTTTGGCTACATGCAGTGATGCGTTTTCTCTATTTATATTGATTATTTTGTTGGGTGTTGTTTTTTTTCCCGGTTTTCAGGTATTGAAGGGCTTCTTTTTAATTTGTGGGTTTCCTCCATGGAGGCCGCGAAACTTGCAGCTGATGCTGATACCTGAAGAACCATCACTTTTGGATTTATTAGCTGTTATCAATTGATACTGATACCCGAGCTAAGTTTCTGAGATGGGTAGCTCTGCCTCCGATGAACTCCACAACAGCAACGCAAAAGCCATTGATGCGTCGGTGGGCGGTTTAGTTTGGGTTCGCAGGAGGAACGGGTCGTGGTGGCCTGGTCGGATTATGAGTATGGACGAGATTGCGGAGGGTAATTTGGTTTCGCCAAGATCGGGCACTCCAGTCAAGCTTCTTGGCCGGGATGATGCTAGTGTGTGAGTGACATTTGCCTTCTGTTTCTTCTTCAGCCGACCTTTATCTAATCTCCATATTTTGAGTTGACAAAGTACTGCAAGCCTGTGAGTTATTTGTAATTAGGTGATTGGGTGGATTGATTTTTCGTTTTTGTAAGTTTCTGCTGTATTTCAAAAACTGAGCTCTTAAACGTATCAGTGGTAAAATGTTGAGTAGCCACATAAATGTCTGTGTTTCACTGTTCATTGTTTTGATTTGCTAGGTGCTTAATGCAGTCTTGAACCAATGCTCGTTTTGGTTTGTACTTGCACTGCTTGTGCTGTTCTCCATAAGAATCATTAGCATGTCAGGTTAATTAATTCCTCAAATACTCCACAAATTCGAGTAGGATAACCTCGTGGTTTCTTGCTTCTAATTTTTTTTTTTTTTTTTTTGCTTTTGCCTTGGCATTATATTGCTTGCTACATGTCTAAGAGCTACTTGTTTGTGATCTGGTCCAATGTTACTGCAGCTGGAAGTTCTAGTTTCTCACTGAGAGGTTCGCCCCTTAATGACCTCTGAATTGGGTCGTCTTCTTAAAACCATGAGTTCAACAATCTCAAGTACTTGAGAAGTTTGTTGCATTCTGCTGTCAATAATAGCATATGTTGGTCTGGACAATCCATTAGAGCTAGGAGACACAGCTCATTTCTTGTCAGTATCCATTTTTCTGCCTAACTGTGTTTTCTTCAAAAATCAAGTTTCTCATGTGCTAGGAGTTGATTGGAGGTTCTTAGTTTAGATAGTGACCAACTTTTCTTTGTATATTTTTTAATCACCTTCTTCTTATATTTTGCCTTCTTGTATTCAGGAGCATATCCTTGATATGTTTTGGCATGCATGTTAATATCTGTGTTGATGCTCTACATGATCATGTGCTTCTCTTTGTGCTTTTCTTATTTGTGTATATTAAGCATGGTTCAAAAGTGCGCGCTAAGCTTCAGGCTTTAGGCACCAATACGCTTTGCCTAGGGGTTCTGTAGTGGGATTAGGTATTGAGAACACATTGACTGAGTAAGGCGACACCTAGATGTCACCTAAACATAATTAAATAGAGCTAAGCAGTCAATATCAGAGGGGGGAAATTAACAACGTCTACAAACACAATCTTCTGTCTCAATATTTTCAGTAGCTCAAGAATTTTGTGAGCTATGAGCTATGATTCTATGAACTTGTAATATATTTTTATTGTTGTTACGTATTAATATTTTGAAAATAATTTGAATTGAAGTTGGGAAGTGCTGTAAATTGTTTTTTCATTCACCATGTAGTATAAATTGCTATTTTTGCTTCAGCGCCTAGGCATGCTACGGGTTAGGCGACGGCTCAACGCCCGCCTTACGCTTAGCGCCTTTTCGAACCTTGATATTAGGCGTTCTACAATGAGATATTTGTAGGAGTACGCGTCCTTGTGTTGTCCATCAGTTTAAGTGGCTGCCTTTTGATAGTACAATGGAAAGTGACTTTCATGATTCTTTGTCTTCGAAAGTGAAACGAAATCTATATCTTGCATGCCTTACTAAAATAATTTAATTTCCATGCCTGGGTTTGTGAGTGTGCTTAGATCTGTCACGAAATTCAATTGGCAATGAAAGTGGTCTTTCTTTAGTTACCCAGCGTTATGGATTCCAACATTCTGGACTCTATCATTACCTGTTTTTTTTTTTTACTTGCTATCTTGTTTGCTGATTGACGCTTTTGTTAATTGGTATAGGGATTGGTATAATCTTGAAAAATCCAAAAGGGTGAAGGCATTTAGAGGTGGAGAATATGATGAATGCATCGAAAGAGCTAGGGTAGCAGCAGCAAATGGCAATAGAAAAGCAGTCAAATATGCTCGTAGGGAAGATGCTATTCTCCATGCTCTTGAGATTGAGAATGCTCGACTGGAAAGGGATCAACTTGAGGTAGCTTCTGCATCAAATAATCTAGAGCCAGCCAGAGAATCAACAAGCATGTCTCTTTCTGGCAAAGTAGACGAGAACGTCATTGATGAAGCTAGTGATGCCAATGATTCTGGTCTGGGTCCAGGCCAGGGTTCAGATGTAGATTCAGCACCAGAATTATCTCAATCTGGAATATCTTTTGAAGAGCCGAATCATGTTGTTGATGCATCTAAAGTGCCAGCTGGCTTAGCTAAGAGGAGAAGGACGCCGAACGATTCTGAGGATGATGGGACAGCAGGAACAAAACGTATGAGAGGACTTGAGGACCTTGGCATGGGAATGTCAGATTCTAAGGCTGATAATGGCAGTCCTGTAAATGCTGGCACCACAGTTTACAGTCCATCCTTGAAAAGAAAGAGATCACAAGTGGCAAACGTCCATGAGTTCTTGAAAAGGAGAAATCGTCGCAGGCCTTTGACTAAAGTTCTTGAGAGTACGGTCATGGTGTCTGTTCCAGTTAGCTGTGACCAAGTTCCCAGCACAAGTGTTTCACCTATTGAAGGGTTGTCGGACGGCAAGATCTCTTGTTTGGAATCTAATGAATCTAAAAAAGGTCCATGGGTGGGTAATAATAACAACTCCGATAGCACTGGGGTTTCATGCGACAATGGCGCCGTCTCCCTGAGTCCTCCTGAACACGCTGCTTGTAATGGTTCCCTCACCGCGAAGGTGGTGAAAGAGAATGATACAACTATTGCAGAAGAGTTAACTTTGGATGGCTCTTCAAATCAGTTGTATGATGTACCATTTGCAGGTATGCTTGATCGATGCAGTCCAAATTCCAATGCTTTTAGACTTTCTCTTCTAGCCGGTCGCAGCTTTTGCTGTCTTCGTTCTCTATGCATATATGCACCCAGAGGATGCTCCTTCCTTCTTGATTGTCTTTACTGTTGACCAGTGACTAAGGTGTCTGACGGACCACTTTGGTAGTCTTTGCATTTGGAGAGTACTGTCGGTCAAATTGCTACTCCCTGCAGCCGTTTATGGGGTTTTCACTTGAGAATTACTTCTGAAGCTGGAGGATTTAGTTTCAGTTGTTTTTTCATGAAGGGTTTGTTGATATATACACAGTTCAGATTAGTTGACTGCTGATATTCTTGTCTTGAAGGGGCTTGCTGAATATCAGATGCCGACTTTCAGACGTGTAGGTTCTAAATATACCAGTTGTAAATTGTTTAGTTAGCTAGGTGTTTCTATTGTTACTTTCTTTCTAATATGTCCAGGATCACTATAACTTGTTTGACTGCTGAGCTTTGTTTTATGAATTCTTCAGGTCTTTCAACCCAAAGGCATCTAGTCAGTGTACCAGTTGGGCATTATGGTCCAAGTTGTCTAGCAGGAGCCGTACCTTTGCAAAATGAGTCTGGTCCCACACCTTCGGTAGCAGCGAATAACATCAGCAACCAGAAGATGGAGCAAGGTACTTCAAAATGGCAACTAAAAGGAAAGAGGAATTCCCGACACACAAAGCATGGAAAACAAGCTTCCTCCCGAAAATACATGGACTTGGATGATGAAACTCCTGCTTATTACCCAGTAATTATGGACCACTCGGAAGGACTCGATCAAACTTCCAGCAATGCTTCTCTCGGTTTTGTGGCAAAAGACGAGCTCGATGGGTTTCAGGATTGGAACCGGTCTTATGCTTTACTGCCTCAGAGATCGCTTCCATACCGTCAATCACGATTCATGCTCAACTCCAGATACGAATCAGCTGACTTTCCTGTCAGTAATGTCTTTGGCGATGAGAAACTCTATGACGTGAAGCTGGAAGTGAGATCCAACTACCGGCCACAGCATGTTCCGTTAGTTTCATTGATGAGCAAGTTCAATGGCAAAGCCATTATAGGTCACCCTTTGATGGTTGAGGTTTTGGGCGAAGGTGCTTGTGATCTTATGGTGGGATCTACTACAACGGGATCAGCTGTTACTCTAGCGACTCCAGCAGCCATTGGTGGAGCTCTTGAATTGGTTAGGAAAAACTCTGGGGGTAGTGGCGAGAGACCTGGTGGCAAGCGAATGTCAAGAAAGAGGCGCTTTAAAAGGAAATGCAGCAAGTTGAGGAAATCCGGGTTGTTGTCTAAAAAGATCAGGAAGCTTTCTTCACTCACAGGGAAGAAAGTGGAAGAGAGAGAAGCTGCCTTAGTGGAGAAGGCGAAAGGCGCTGCAATAGCTTGTGTCCCACTCGAGTTAGTGTTCAGCCGCATAAACGAGGCAGTGAATGGTTCTACTTCATGCCAATCACAATTCACAAGATGCCTTAGTTGAGAAGCTACCTTCTTCGGGTGACTCATGATATCAATAGCAATCACACCGCAATTTGAGAGTGGTATAGGAGAGCATAAATTACCATTTCATGTTAATTCTCTGATGTGTAGATATGTAAACAGTTGTTGATTGAGATAGATGGTTGTGTAAAGCCGGGGAAGCAGCTGTAGGAACCAGGTAGTAGGCAGTTTGTAGCTGGTAGGGTGGTTTTAGGATTTGACGGGATTAGAAGAGGATAATAACTTTGGATTTGGCTGGTGCTAACCAGTGGTGCCCAAAGCAAAAAAGAATCGTTAATTGTTTCATTTCTTTTGAAGTAACAGGCCCTGCCCCAACTCCATGGGATGCAGTCATGCAAGTTGCAATTGCAGATCTCGCATCTTCCTTTTTCAGTGTCATTTTAACAAATGCTATTCGATGCACCCAGTGAAAGTGTTCCACCAACATCCTTACTATTACCAACAGCTTGCAGTTGTTCTTAATGTTTTTTAATGAATTGTTTTTTTATGAAGGTGATGAACTTTATTGTAACAGTTTAGACAAATCTCATATCGACAAAGCACAGAAGAGATCCATGGTTCATAAGTAGGAAACCAGTCTTAGCTGACAAGACGTCTTTTAATGTGAAATGGAGGAGTTTTTGTGAGAACTGCGAAGTTAAACGTGCTCAATGTGGAGTACAACAAGGATGGCACGACCTTATGGGAAGTCACTTTGAATTCCCCAAGTTGAAAATTGTGAGGGTCGAGGCCCAAAGCGGACAATATCTTCGTCGGGAAAAGGTTCAGATGTTACAAGTGGTATCAGAGCTTCTCCACGTCCCTCTTGAATGATGGTGGGGCAAACCTCAACGAGGGCGTTGAGTCCCAAGGGGGGGTGTATGTAACACCTTAGGCAAATCCCACATCGACAAAGCACAGGAGAGATCAATGGTTCATAAGTAGGAAACAAACCGTAACTGACAAGACGCATTTTAGGGTGAAATGGAGGAGTTCTTGTGAGAACTCCGAAGTTAAACGTGCTCAGTTTAGAGTACAACAAGGATAGGTGACCTTATGGAAAGTCAACTTGAATTGCACCACAAGTCGAAAAACCGTGAGCGTCGAGGCCCAAAGCGGACAATATCTTCGTCGGGAAAATGTTTGAGATGTTACAAGTGGTATCAGAGCCTCTCCGCGTCACTCTTGAATGATGGTGGGGCAAACCTCAACAAGGACGTTGAGTCCAAAGGGGGGGGGGGGGGGGGAGTGTATGTAAGGCAAATCCCACATCGACAAAGCACGGAAGTGATCAATGGTTCATAAGTAGGAAACCAACCTTAACTGACAATACGTGTTTTGGGGTGAAATGGAGGAGTTCTTGTGAGAACTCTGAAGTTAAACGTGCTCAATGTGGAGTACAACAATGTTGAGTGACCTTATGGGAAGTCACTTTGAATTGCACCCCAAGTTGAAAACCGTGAGGGTCGAGACCCAAAGCGGACAATATTTTCGTCGGGAAAAGGTTAGGGATGTTACATTTATTGATAAAAGAAGAAAAGAAACAAAAGCTGCACTCCACAAGCAGTGAGAGTGAGCAGAAAGAATAACAGAGAGAAGAGGCGGAACCCAGTCCAAAAGCAAGCTCCACAAAGCAAGCAACCGAAGCCGATCTGGTCTGAAAAGGATACAGAGGAAGAACAAAAACCAGACCCCAAAAAACAACTAAAAAACTCAAGAGTGGATCACCTAGAGATTCACATGCTGAAAACCAAGCAATTGGGCAGCCGAACAGGGTAAGCGTATCACGACCAAGTGCCGCCACCTTGTACGCTAAAAAAGCAGTCCTTGAACATTTGCAATGCTCTTCCTCTATCAACTTTGCCATGATTCACGATCCAGAGCAAGATGTTACGCATGATTTATGTGAAACAACATAGGATGAACACGACTCTTGATTAAAAATCCTTTGGCCCCTCTCTTTCCACACAATCCAACATGTGGCATTAGAATCTTCTCTAGATCAGTCGTTGATCACGAAGCGACATCGCCAGCAGGAGCTCTGAAGTTGTTAACTACATTAGATAGTGGCGGACCTAGAAATTTGACATAGGGGTGTACTCTTTCACAAAATAAAGTAAAATAAAAATATAAATTAACAATAATTAAATTCTTAAACAAGAAAATACCCAACTCGCAGTCCGAAAATGCAGTAAAGTGGCAAGCTCTATTTGTCAACCCGGGTTCTAGATCTACTGCCTACTCCGTGATTATCTATTATCTAGCAAACTAAGTCGAGTGATTGTGATTTTAAGTAAAAGCAGTAAGAAAGCAGGAAATGGTTCGAAGTTCTTTAGCAAGGGAAGAGTAACTCGGGAATGATTCCCCCTAGCTCATTAGTTAGGTCAAGGTTGTAATTACCCATGGTTGATTAACTATTGATTAAACTGCGGAAGATCCGACAGTAGTTTGGAATCTCTTAAGCTGACCAAGCCCTCTCAGGCAGACTAACCGGCAGGCGACGAGCCTTCATCTGGATAGACTGCTGAGGAAATAAACACAGAACTCCACTATTAGAATTGAATTCAAGTACAAAGCAGTAAATCGATTAACTCTCGTATAACCAATCTACGACTACCGAATGATGAAGCTCTAACAACCTAATCAGTAACTATCTATCTCAAGTTGCAGCAGAAATCAAGAAAATATGATCAAGCTTCAATTGATTCAATGAATCATGCATCAATCGATTAAAATCAATCAGTATATCAATCCACAGTCATTACAATAAAGATTTCTAACACATGGAACTAGAGTTCTTCATACCCAAGTGAGAGAAAGTTCTACTCCACACACAGAGAGAGAGGAAAACAGAAATCAGAGTAGTCATACTCATAAAGATGAGGATAATCTGCTCTGGGATGTCGATCTTCACTCTCGAGGATGCAATCTGGGCTTCAATGGTGAGAAATCCACTCCAAATAGCATCCCAGTCTGCCCATGTGAGCTCTAGTACAGAGTGATCCGATGGCCGATTTGCGAGATCTGGTGAGTTCTCTGGCCACCTCCCGTGCAAACAAGTTCAGTAATATCGAGCAGTTCATGGAGAAAGCTTCAGGTAAATTCTTGGAGCTAGAAGCTGGCAAGAGAAACATGCAGGCTGTGCTGCGGGATATCCAGACCCAGCATGGGAGTGTGGCACAGGCTGTAGCCCAGAGGACTCCTGTTCTTTACCCAGTCAGACCATCCCTTATCTGCAGGACCCAAATGAGCAATGCAAGGCCATTACTACCAGGAGTGGCAAAGTGAATGCTGACCCACCTGTCCGGGCACAAGAGAGAGAGACCCCTGCTTCAGCACTTCCAGCTAATGAAGTAGAAATGGAGAAGGAGGTTGAGGTGCCTGTTCCTAAGCCACAACCAGTGGTGAAGGAGTATGTACTGCAACTTCCCTTTCCTACTCGGTTGCACAAAGACCGACTAGAGACATAGTTTACCAAGTTCATGGCAATGCTGAAGCAGGTAAACATCAGTATGACCTTCATACATGCATTATCGAAGATGCCCAAGTATGCTAAGTTCATGAAGGATCTCCTCACCAACAAGAGGAAGCTTGGGGAGCTGTCAACGTTGATGCTCAACGAGGAGTGTTCTGCCATCCTTCAGAACAAGCTACCAGTGAAGCGCAAAGACCCAGAGAGTTTTACTATCCATTGCATGATTGGTAGTTTGCATATAGAAAAATCCTTGGAGGATTTAGGCGCTAGCATAAACGTCATGCCTTATAAACTGTTTAAGAAACTAGGCCTAAGTGAACCCAGTAACACTAGGATGAGCATTCAACTTGCTGATAGATCAATTGTGCATCCTGGGGGCATTGCAGAGGACTTGATAGTCACAGTAGTGCCATTCTCCTATCCTGTTGATTTTGTGATTCTTGATATAAATGAGGATGTGGATGTGCCTTTCATACTGGGTAGACCTTTTCTCGCCACCTCCAAGGCATTTATTGATGTGAATGATGGAAATTTGATTTTGAGGGCTGGGGGTGAACAAATCACCTTCTCTGTTTCTGATAATATGAAACACCCCCAGCTCCATGATGATCTAGACTATTGTGATGTTATTGCTGATTTTGAGACCGCACTAGCCATCGCGAGTGCGGGTACTGACGATTTCCTCGAGCATTGTCTTTTGCTAGGGGAACAGGCATCGCAGGAGTTGCAGTTGGAGGAACAGCTCGCGAAGCTAGACAAGGCCGCGATCGAGGGGTGAGAAAAACCATTCAAGCCGATCCCTATCTTGCCCCGGGTCGCCACATCATTGGAGGAGCCATCGTAGCTGGAGCTTAAGCCCCTCCCCTCTCACCTGGAGTATGCATTTCTCCGGGAGGGGAATGAGCTCCCGGTCAATATCAGAGGCATTAGCCCATCCTTCTTCTCCCACAGAATTCTGATGGAGGATGAGGTTAAGCCAGTCACCCAGCCACAGTGGAGATTATCTCCTAACTTGGAGGCAGTGGCCCGGGCAGAGATTGTGAAGTTAATGGATGCAGGGACCATCTTTGCTATATCTGATAGCAAGTGGGTCAGCCCCACTCGGGTGGTCCCAAACAAAGGCGGGATGACTGTGGTCCCGAATGAGAAGAATGAATTGATCCCGATGCGGACCGTGACCGGCTGGAGAGTCTGCATCGATTACCGGCGTCTGAACGACGCCCCCAGGAAGGACCATTTTCCCCTACCTTTCATTGATCAGATGCTGGAGAGGCCATGAGTTCTACTGCTTCTTGGATGGCATGTCTGGCTACTTCCAGATACCCATTGCACTGGAGGATCAGGCGAAGACCACATTCACCTGCCCCTTTGGTACTTTTGCTTACCGGAGGATTCCATTCGGGCTGTGTAATGCAACGACGACCTTTTAGAGATGCATGCTGGCGATCTTCGACCGACTGGTCGGAGAGATCATGGAAGTATTTATGGATGACTTCTCGGTTTATGGAGACTCCTTCACTCATTGTCTCTATAACCTGGAACACATTCTGAAGAGGTGCGAGGAGACTAATCTGGCACTCAGCTAGGATAAGTGCCATTTTATGGTTCGTGAGGGGATTGTGCTCGGGCACAAGATCTCCAAGTAGGGGATTGAGGTAGATCGCGCGAAGATTGAGACGATCAGTAAGCTACCTACTCTCATTTCTGTGAAGGGGATTCGCAGCTTTCTTTGTCATGCAGGCTTCTACCGGCGCTTCATCAAAGATTTCTCGAAGATTGCCCTGCCTCTGACCAAGCTGCTGGAGAAGGATGCACCATTCCAGTTCACTCCTGAGTGCACATATGCATTTGAGACATTGAAGGAGAAGCTTACCCATGCACCCATCATGGTGACTCCTGACTGGTCTCTTCCTTTTGAGCTGATGTGTGATGCGAGTGAATATGCAGTCGGAGCAGTTCTGAGTCAGAGA